AAGCACTTAAACTCCCATCAAGTTCTAATAGCCTAGGATTAATGTAAGAACACTTACCAGATTATTATCTATTTCATTCACTTTCTTTCTACACTGTTGTCAGTATCAGTTCATTTTTCACTGGAAAAATCAATTTTAGCACTTAAATATTTAAAAAGAAAAATTGATCCATTGTCTAATTTTTACAACACATTTGGGCATGTCTTCTGTGTTCATAGAAGAAATCTGTGCCTTCCTTGGAAAGGCTGAAGTTCCTTAGGGTAATGCAAAACCTTTTATATGTTTCTTTGAAGCTTTTGAGATTAGCTTTGTAATCTCAGATCTCAGGATCACACACTCTGATATCCAAATCCCAATGAGAAAACTTACCTGAGCAGTTAGAGTTCTACTGAGGCATTGAGTAAACACAAAGGAAATGATGTAATGTGTTTTTCTATATCTTAAGAATATCTCACACAAAAATATATTATGACTTTCAAAATGGTAGATTATTATACATAAAACTGGAGGAAGATACTTACTATCTGATTTAACCTGTTCAAAGCAATTTATCAGTTAATAGAAGTTCTATGTGACAGAACAGTGGGACAAACTGAAATGAAGCCAAATGTACCTGTACAGGCATTGAGAATTAGAAGGTTTTTCAGTAAACATTGTCAACTAGAAAATAACATAGTCACAACCTGAAGGTAGACTGTTTGATATTAGATTTCTAATCTCAGATCTCAGGATCACACACTCTGATATCCAAATCCCAATGGGAACACTTACCTGAGCAATTAGAGTTTTACTGAGGAGTCAGGTAAACACAAGAGAAATGATGTAATGTGTTTTTCTATTTCTTAAGAACATCTCAAGCAAAAATATATTACGACTTTCAAAACGGTAGATTAATATACATAAAATTGATGGGAATGTTAAGGACTCTAAGACCAGGAGGCACCATCTCAGTAGTCATGAGAAAACCACTTCAAGGTGGCAGGAGGGGGAGTCAGGCTTTATACAAGTTTGCAACAAAGGGGACAGGGAATCTGAACATCAGAGATTATTGTGAGGTGGAGAAAATCAGATATCAAGTTAAGGAGTTTATCGTTCTTCTGCATACAGAAAGATGCAAGCCTCTGGGCTCATTGAATTCATTCCTTCCATATACACTTCAGCTCAGTTCAGTTCAGTAGCTCAGTCCTGTCCAGACCCCATGGACTGCAGCACACAGGCTTCCGTGCCCATCACCAACTCCCAGAGCTTGCTATCTGGGGCCAAATTCTGTCTCCTGATTGTTTGCATCCTTAATTCCTCATTCACCTTAGGGAGTGGCCAGTGTGGCAGACGGCTGCTGCTTGCATTCCCTGAGCTCCTTAGTGAACAGCTGTGAGGGTGGCAGCATCAGCTGGCTCTCAGTTTGGGGAGCCCTCAGTCACATTTGGAGGTAAGAAATCACAGATGGCTGTGACATTTCTCGTTTATCAATATGACAGCAGGCATTTCATTTCGCCGCATGTAGGTAGAAAGTCAATGATGAATGACATTGACTCCAATATGTGTTATCTGTGCATCATGTTCAAGTGGAATTTTGGCTGTCCAAGGCCAGGATTGACCAAGAATTTTAACTCAATAAAAACACTTACTCTATGTAGGCGTGCTAGCTGCTACACTGGGTACAAAAAAGAGAAAGGGAGGATTAATTGAATCCATATGAAGAATTTGGCAAGCAGAGAATACTGAATGAGAGACAATACAGAAAAAATAAATAAGAAATTGCGTGGAGATTGAAAAGTTCATGGATTGATATAGAAGGATTTAAATGTGATTTAGAGCAATGATGCCTGTGTGTGGTGGGTGGGAGTGGCCCCTTGATGGTTTAATGGTAAAGAATCTGCTTGCCAATACAGGAGCCACAGGAGACAGGGGTTCGATCCTTGGGTTGGGAAGATCCTCTGGAGGAGGAAATGGCAACCCACTCCAGTATCCAATGGACAGAGGAGCCTGGTGGGCTGCAGTCCATAGGATCACAAAGAATCAAACACAACTGAGTGAGCACACACATACAGTAAAATGAAGCACAATAAAATCATAAGGGAATGAGAAATTCACATAAATTCCTACAATTTGCAGGTAAGAGAGTGGTCAGATTATTTATGTGAAGCCACTTAAAGAAATACAGAACCTTTTTGTGTTTGCTTTTCAGACGAGTTGGAGGAGCAGTCAGAGTGCCCCCACTACTCCAGACGGGGAAGAGGGGAGCCCCGTACCGCGGACGGTGCCTGCCTACGAGACCAAACCTCAGCTCACCCGTGGCAGTGGAGACCGCACTACAGAGAGGGTTCTGTCCACACCCATCAGTGGTGACATGGGCTCGGCAAATGCGGGCTTCCAGTCGGGAAGGAGGAAAGGACAGCCTGAGGGTGATGAGAACCAAATGCTTTGTCTTAAACAGCAGAAAATGGTGTTAGGAATGAAAGTGTGCACTTAATTAATTGTTTTCTCCTGCACTGGCAGGTAGAGATTCTTTACCTCCTTAGTCACACCAGTATAGGTATATATACGTGTATACACACACACACACACACACACACACACACACACACACACACACACATATATATATATGGGTTTATCAGGAAACACTGGTTTAAACCCTGCATCAGAAAGATCTCCTGAAGAAGGAAAGGGCAGCCCATTCCAGTATCCCTGCCTGGGAAATCCCATGGACAAAAACACATGGCTATAGTCCATAGGGTCACGAAAGAGTCACACACGATTTAGTGATTACATAACAGCAAACGCATACAAAAAAAAGTGAAAAGAATCACGTTGCTGTACACCTGAAACTAATACAGCATTATAGCTATATTTCAATAAAAAAAAAGATTTCCAAGAACCTAAAATTGTGTTTTATTTTTACAACTGGATTAATTGCTAATTGGATACCAGGAAAACAGAACATTACAATTGTGTTCAGAATATTATTCTAATTTATTTTTTTCATGGTGATATAGAGAGACTATATAAATCATGACACATGGATGTTAATATACTTACGACTTCATTCTCCCCTGCCTGCATCTCCCCCCCACCACAAGGGACATACATTTTAACAACTCTTCCTTTACAATTTAAATTACATCAACAGAACATTCAGTTTCTTTCTTTCTTTCTTTTATTATTTTTTATTTATATATATATTCATATACATATAAGTATGTATATTTATATTTATTTATTTATTATTATTTTTATTTTATTTAACTAGTGTAATGCTATGAACCCACTGGGGAGATAAAGTTGTCCACTGAAAAAAGGCACAAACTAAAAGTTGAGAGTTAAATTTTATTTGGCAGATATTTTGAGGTCTTCAAGCCTGGGACACAGCATCACAGTGCTAAGAAACTGTTCTGCAGAGGCAAGCTCTGAAGAGGCAAGGGGGAGCCAGGAGAGATAGAAGATTTTGCAACAAATGATCAGATAATCAGAACACCAAAATATTATTGTTAATAAAAGAAAACCAGATAAACTAAAGAATTTAGCACTTTTTCTGTTTATGGGAAGGTGCAACAGTTTGGACTCACTGACATTATTCCTTTGACATGCACCTTAGATATCTTGAGAGTCCCTTGGACTGCAAGGAGATCCAACAAGTCCATTATAAGGGAAATCAGTCCTGAATATTCATTGGAAGGGCTGATGTTGAAGCTGAAACTCCCATACTTTGGCCACCTGATGCAAAGGACTCACTCATTGGAAAAGAACATGATGCTGGGAAAAATTGAAGGCAGGAGGAGAAGTGGACAACAGAGTATGATATGGTTAGATGGCATCACCGACTAGATGAACATGAGTTTCAGTAAGCTCCAAGAGTTGGTGATGGACAGGGAGGCCTGGCGTGCTGCAGTTGGTCGAAAAGAGTTGGATACGACTGAGCGACTGAACTGAACTGAACTGATCTTAGCTATCGGGGGCCAGCCTATCTTGAGAAAGCCTATTCTGTGCTTTCTCATCCTGAGTGTCCTCAGGGCTCACTGACCAGGCAGCTGTGTTATGGCAGCTTCATGATTGCAACCTCCTTTGTTTACTGATGTGGCAGGCAATAGTTTTCATTAACAAAGTCCTCTCCAATGACTTCTAGAAAATCAGGGTATGTTTGATGATAATAACTAAAGCAGAATGAAGAGAAACTGAGCAGATTTCTACATCAAATAATTCCTATCCCAGATTCTCATTTTTGATTAAGGCAAAATAATACAAATGCAGATGGATTTCGCCTAAAGTGAACACACTAGAATGAAATTAAGGAAATGATGATTTTTTAAAATAAATTTACAAAGGTTCAATTTTCTACTGAACCTTTAGTTCAATAGTTCTTTAGTTCTTTTAGTTTTTCAGGCTAATTCATTCATCTATTCAATAAATATTTGTGAATTGCATCCCGAGGCTAAGCATTGTAAATGAGTAGACAACAGTGAATTAGACAAGAAGGACCAAATTTTTATGGAATATTTAGTCAAGGAAGAGTGATTTCTCATTCCATCTTACTTACAAATTATTTGCTTCTAAGTGTTATGATGAAGCTTTGTTAGGGTGATACAAATACATGAAAAGAATACAAATAAACCTAATTTGACTCACTAACACTCCTATCCAGCTCAGCAAGATTATTTAGCCTATTGTTAAAAATAAAAAGTAGGAGCCTTTAGGAAGGTAAGTCAAATTAACATGGGTGAGGGGTTGCTCTGTGCATGACATCTCACTGAGACTTCTCCAAGAAAAGAAAAAAGAGGTGTAAAAAAATCCTCTCTGCAAAACAGAAAAGTGATCCTATTACTACTCTTCCTTAGTTTGGAGAGTTTAGTGTAATGACTGTTCCCTAAACTGATTTAGGTGACAATGTAAGTAGTGGAAAACATTCAGAAGCTGTACTAGAAAGACTATAAGAATCTATGTCAAAGTTCCTGTGCTTCTTCTCTTAGAATCTTTAAATACTTTTGGATGAAAGTACTGTATCACCCAGAACATAATTTAGTGCTGATTGCTTTTTTTAGGGCACCTTTTACATCCTTATTCCTTAAGCTGTAGATAAGTGGGTTTAACATGGGGATGACAACTGTGTAAAAGACAGAGGCTGTTTTGTCTGTGTCCATGGAGTAACTGGAGCTGGGTCTGAAATACATGAACAGGAGTGTGCCATGAAATATAGCCACAGCGGTTAAGTGGGAGGCACATGTAGAGAAGGCTTTGTGTCTCGCCTCTGTTGAGATCATCCTAAGGATGGTTGCTATGATGTAACTGTAGGAAAGGAAGACGGTGATAATGCTGGTCCCCACAATACAGCCAATAAAAGTGAACATCACAATCTCATTGATGGATGTATCTGAGGAGGAGAGGGCTAGTAATGGTGGGATGTCACAGAAAAAGTGATTGATGATATTGGAATTGCAGAATGACAACCGAAATGTACAACAGGTGTGGACTGCCGAATCAACCAAGCCTACGATGTAGGCAATAACCACAAGCTGGGTACAGATTCCCCTGGACATGGCAATTGTATAAAGAAGTGGATTACAAATGGCTACATAACGGTCATAAGCCATGACAGCCAACATGAGACATTCCACATCTGCAAAGGCTCCAAAAAAGTACATCTGGATGGCACATACATCATATGGAATCCTTTTTTGCTCAGATAAGAAATCAGCCAGCATCTTGGGAGAGATAGTAGAAGAATAGCAGATGTCACAGAAGGACAGATTGCTCAGGAAATAATACATGGGTGTGTGCAGTCTGGGGTCCACCTTGGTCAGCAGGATCATCCCAACATTGGCAACCACAGTCACATCATAAACCAGCAGGAAGATCAGGAAGAGCCCCTGCTGCACATCTTGTCTACTGGAAAGTCCTAAGAATATGAAGTCAGTAAACACAGTGCAGTTCTCAGCTGTCATCCCTCACACATGAAAATTCCTGGTTATGAAAAAGGAAATGGAAGTGGAGGGTTAATATCATCTTACTGTCTTAATTGCTAAATTGCTATTTGTTTATATATTTCAGTAATTAGAAGAAGAGATAAATAATGCTAAGATGCCTTGAAGTTAAATTGGCCCTTTGGGAAATATTTCCAATTTGATATAACTTATAAAATGATAATAATAATGATGCAATTGTAGTGTTTGCCTCACAAATTCATCTAAGCTAAATCAGGCTATTTCCAAATCAATTTGTATAGCATTTATGACCATTTTTGCTATTTCAATCTAATATTAAGAACTTTATGTCCTCAGACTGAAGGCAAGATTGTCACAATTAGTTGGTCCAGGTAACCCGTCTTCGGACAAGATCTCTGCTTTGCTTTGTTTCAATGGTGTATGGATGTTGTCATATAATGTAATAGAGAAATATAGTTAATGAGTGATGTAGATAATGAATATATTGCTTTGCAGTTTCTTCATCTGCCATGAGTGTGGAGCAGGAAGAGCTGTGGCAAGTTTCTGAACATAACAAGAAATAATTTCCCCATTAAACTCTCAGGTCTGTTCAACTTTAGTATATGAGAGATAGATAGTTTGTGAAGACCCACTGGAGCAGAAAGGTGATAGCTTTTGGATAAGAGGGTGGAAGGGTGCCTATGTATTAAATGTTAGAGTGGAGAGGCAGTTATATTCCAGGACTGATATTCTCACCTCTGAGAGCTGCTGTTACATAGCGGGGATGATGAAGAATGTCTGGGCCCCACTTGTAGAGATGCTGATAGCACAGATGACAGAAAGGCAAGAAATGCAGTGTGGTTAACTGTGTGGATCCTTCTGCCCTATTCTATTCTACTTAACATGATATATTCAACACAAGATCAGTTATGTAAGACACATGATACAAATACTCGTATGTTCACAGTTCCAGAATCCCAGAGACAATCATGCATGAACTGTGTCCCCATCCCAGTGTCTAAAAATTTTGATAGTTTCATTCTTTTAATTGATCCATGTTTCTCTTGAATATCTCTGAGGCCAGTCATCCTTGATTTAGGAGTCACTTGTCTCTGGGGGGCAATTGAATTTTATATCCTCTTATAATACTTTACCCAAACCAACTGTGTGATACACCGTGTCATACCCATCCTCTTACATTCTGTGAGAATGTAAGAAAAGTGGAGTTGAACGTAGGGCTTCCCAGGTGGTTCAGTGATATAGAATCTTCCTGCCAGTGCAGGAGATGCAGAAGACATGAGTTTGATTCCTGGGTCAGGCAGATCCCCTGGAGGAGGAAATGGCAACTCACTCCAGTATTCTTGCCTGGGAAATCCAATGGACAGGGGAACCTGGCAGGCTAGAGTCCATGGGATCGCAAAAGAGTTGGACTATGTATATTTATCTGTGTATATCTGAAAAATTGATACTTTCAAATTGTGGTGCTGGAGAAGACTCTTGAGAGTCCCTTGGACTGCAATGAGATCAAACCACTTAATCCTAAAGGAAATCGACCCTCAATATTTGCTGGAATGGCTGAAGCTGAAGCTACAATACTTTCACCACTTGGTGCAAAGAACCAACTCGTTGGGAAAAAACCCAACTCATTGGAAAAGACCCTAATGCTGGGAAAAATAAGTTAGTAAAAATGAGAAAGTTTCAGCAGAGGATGAAGTGGTTAGCATCACCAACACAAGTTGGTGCAAATAAATGTGAGCAAACTCAAGGAGAGAATGAAGGGCTGGGAAGCCTGGTGTGGTACAATCCATGGGTTTGTAGAGTCAGATATGACTTATCAACTAAACAGCAATAATAATATTGATTTGAAATAGACTGGGAAAAGTAAGTAAAATAAAATTTGGGGTATATTTCATATTTCCCTTTGTTTATATAACATGCTTTCTTTCAAAAAAGGCTTAAAAACCTAAAGAAATCTCAAACACATATCAAAGAAACAAGAAAGATAACAGTACCTGTCCCAGAACTCCTGACTTGCTTGTTGCATGCAGTTCTATCTGCTGGAGGATTCAGGATTGTCTCCTGCCTGACCTAGATCATATAACCATCTCCATGTCTGGTCCCTGGGTGGTGAACCCTTGGTCTCTCAGGAATAATTAACAGACATCAAGATGTAGTTTATCATCTGGCGGTTCATACAATTAAGTTAATTGTGAATGGAATACTGATTAAAGTTAAATGATAACAATCAACAAGCATTCCTTATTTCCAGTTCACAAATCCATATTCAAGCACTTTATTTTTATTTGATAAAATGCAAAACAAATGCACAACCATTCACCCTTACATAATTACACAGACACACAGGCATCCCATTAAATATATCCACAAAGTAAAGATTTTGCAAAAACAGCAAAAATCGGAACATATATACACTACCTACAGATAACTCGATTTTGTTTTCTACACTACTTGGCTTTTAATTGTTAAATAAAAATGATGTTACAGTGAATTATATAATGAATTATACATATACATATATATAACACCACTTAGTGTATATTCATTCATTAATACCATAAAACCTGTGATGTGAGACAATTATATATAGTTTATCATCTTTCTGCATTTTCATATTGTGTGGATCACAGCAAACTGTGGAAAATTCTTAAAGAGACAGGAATACCATACCTCATTACCTGCCTCAAAGGAAACTGTATGCATGTCAAGAAACAACAGCTAGAACCAAACATGGAGCAACAAACTAGTTCAAAATTGGGAAAGGAGTTATGTCAAGGCTATATATTATCACTCTGCTTGTTAAACTTATATACAGAGTACCTCATGTGAAATGCAGGGCTGGATGAAGCACAAGCTGAAATCAAGATTTCTGGTAGAAATATAAACAACCTTAGACATGCAGATGACCCCATCCTTATGGCAGAAAGTGAAGAGGAACTAAAGGGCCTTTTGATGAAGGTGAAAGAGCAAAGGGAAAAAGCTGGTTTTCAACTTAACATTCAAAACACCAAGATCGGGAAGGAGCCAAGATGGCGGAGGAATAGGACGGGGAGACCACTTTCTCTCCTACAAATTCATCGAAAGAACATTTGAATGTTGAGCAAATTTCACAAAGCAACTTCTGATAGCTAGCAGAGGACATCAGGCGCCCAGAAAAGCAGCCCATTGTCTTCGAAGGGAGGTAGGACAAAATATAAAAGATAAAAAGGGAGTCAAAAGAGCTATGGACGGAGACCCGTCCCGGGAAGGGAGTCTTAATAGAGGAAGTTTCCAATCACCAGGAAACCCTCGCACTGGCGGGACTGGGGGAAGTTTTCAGCAATCTAACTGGGAGGAAAAATTAAACAAGGCCCACAGATTACGTGCCTAAAAGCAACTCCCAGCAGAAAAGTACCCCAGACGCCCATACCCACCAGCAACAAGCGGGGGCGGGACGGAGAGGAGCGGGCGGCATTGCTTAGGGTAAGGACTGGCCCGAAGACCCTGAGAGCAATTGGAGGGAGCTTTTTTAAACTGTGGGATAGCAAGGGTCAAAATTAACAGGCCCGAACACACTGCCGGCGGTTCGCAAAACAAAGGGACTGAGAAAGTCCAGAGAAGAGCCGGCCCATCCCCGCTGGAGGTGGGAGGCAGGGGGGAGGGGAAAAGGGCAAACTCAGCCCCTGAGAAGCCACCCCCTCCCACACTGCAAACAGGCCCCCGGGTCCTATCTAAAGACTTCCTGAGACCCGATTGGCGGCGCGCGCTGGGGCCGCGGAGGGAAAAAGCACGCCGTACCCGGGGAGAGTGCGCCCAAGCCTCTGGCTGCCTTGGCCACTGGACGCGGAGGGAAAAGGAGCGCCACCCCCTGGGAGAGTGCGTCCAAGCCTCTGGCTGCCTGAGCTGCCGGCCGCGGAGGGAAAAGGCGCGCCGCACCCAGGGAGAGTGCACCCAAGCCTCTGGCTGCCTGAGCTGCCCGCCGCGGAGGGAAAAGGCGCGCCGCACCCAGGGAGAGTGCACCCAAGCCTCTGGCTGCCTGGGCCGCTCGACGCGGAGGGAAAAGGCGTGCCATACCCAGGGAGAGTGCGCCCAAGCCTCTGGCTGCCTGAACCGCTCAGGCCGGGGAAGGCACAAAACGCAGGCGCAACCGAATCTGTGCTTTTGTGGAGTACCCGAAAACTGGAACCGCACTCAACGCAGGGCCCGCTCCATATAGAGCAGCCGGGAGCCTGAGCAGTGTAGCCGGCGAAAGCACTGACACCCGTGAGCGGGGCAAACCCAGTGTGGCCGGAACACGGTGAGTGCTATCCACACAGAGCGGTATCTGTCTGCAGCGCCCCGCCCTCCCCGTAGCAGGACTGAACTGAACTAGAGAACCTAAATAAGAGATCACCTCCGCCCGCCTGTGTCAGGGCGGAAATTAGACACCAAAGAGACAGCAAACAGAAGCCAAATAAACAAAGGGAACCGCTTCAGAAAGGACTGGTGCAACAGATTAAAATCCCTGAAGGTAACACCGACTACACCGGAAGGGGCCTACAGATATCGAGAAGTGTAAGCTAGAAAGAGGAGCTATCTGAAATTGAACTGAACCT